GCTGTCCTAATGGATACACCTGCACTGGTGGATATTGTACAAGAGGAAGCAAAGTCTTGCCTTTGTTAGAAAAGCTACCGGCTTCAAAAAGACACGTTGATGTGAGCAGTGTTGTTTGTCCAGATGGGGAATCTGAGTGTCCAGATGGAAACACATGCTGTAAGCTTTCCTCAGGACAATGGGGTTGTTGCCCACTTCCAAATGCTGTCTGTTGTAGCGACGGAGAACATTGCTGTCCTGATGGATACACATGCGATGTCTCGGCTGGAACCTGCAGTAAAGGGAGCCTAAGTATAAGTATGTTTAAGAAGGTGCCGGCAGTGGAGAAAACTACTGACGAGAAGGGATTTGATGGCATAGTCTGCCCTGATAAAAAGTATCACTGTCCGAAAGGAAACACATGCTGTAAGCTTTCCTCTGGAACATATGGATGCTGCCCTTTGGAAGATGCTGTTTGCTGCAGTGATAATAAGCACTGCTGCCCTGAAGGATACACTTGTGACGTGAAGGAAGGTTAGTTGATCCACGTCCTGTTTTTTGTCTTTCTTTTTCGAACATGAGAGCACGAGAAGGGGAGAAGAGGGTGATGTTATAACTAGTAAAAATTATATTAATCGGCTGAAGCATCCTGGTTAAAAAAATTGGGTTTTGTTTAGGCCGGTTTTCATTAGCGCATAAGCAACTTACGTAGACTGTGTAAGATGTTAATAATTAGCGCCTTTTGATAAAAAATGCCCCAACAAAAGGCACTACTTGACAACACCTTACTACGTTTGTGTATGGTGCTCGTGCACGTGCTGGTGCTGGTGCTCGTGCACCTACTCGTGCTCGTGCTCGTGCTCGTGCTCGTGCTCGTGCTCGTGCTCGTGCTCGTGCTCGTGCTCGTGCTCGTGCACGTGCACGTGCTCATGCACGTGCTTTTGCTCGTGCACCTGCTCCTGCTCGTGTTTATGCTCCTGCTCGTTCTCGTGCTCGTGCTCGTGCACGTGCACGTGCACGTGCTTGTGCTCGTGCTTGCACTTGTGCTTTTGCGTAGTGAATACCATGCTGAAAGCAAAGTCGTTAATAGTTGAACACTTAGTAAGACTTAGTAGAAACCATGAATAGATTGGCAACTATAGATTCGTGTTATGCCGGGAAAACTAAAAATGTTTCTTTTTGGCAGGTAAATGCAATAAAACCGCTGAACACATCAACATGATAAACAGCATCCCAGTTATTAGGACGTCAACAGGTATGTAAGGTTAATGAAAAGTACCCTCATCCCTTGTATAACTAATTATGCGTTCAGCGACGATTTGCAACCAGCCACACGTCTTCATACAGCGATGAGAGCAGTACAGCTGCCATTGAATAGATGGAATTCTCTATTCCACGATTGTGTTGAGTTGCTAGTTGGCTTGAATAGCTTTCCAGGTAGCTTGAGTTTCTTCAGGTGGTTGTTACCATGGATTCCAAATATCGAGAGGCCAGTATTCCTGCACAGATGGTCAGATTTCAACCCAGAGCACGCACATCGTGGCGCCTGTCAGCCAGTCTGTCTGTTTGTCTTTTTGTCTGTCTGTTTTTCTGTCTGTCTGTCTGTCTGTCTGTCTGGTTGGTTTGTCGGCTGGTTAGCTAGCTCACTAGGTTGACCTAGTTCATTTGCCTGATTGGCTGGTTGGCACAGCTTTTGTCTGGACACGAGTCCGTTGGTGGGAGCGTCTGTTTCTCTATCTGTCTTTTTACTCATCGGTTTTGGTTTCTTTTTCAGTTTCCCTGGCCCCTTCTAATCCGACTTCTATACTCTGATAGAATATTTGTTTTAGCCAGTGAAAGCGCGCGCAGAATCCAATCAATTTTGTCGTTTTATTTTTGTTATATTTCAGATGCTGAAGTCAGGTACATAAATTGCCCTGATGGATCTACCTGTATGGATTACGAGACATGTTGTGAACTCCCCGGCGGGGGATTCGGCTGCTGTCCTATGCCACACGCTGTGTGCTGTTCAGACCACGAGCACTGCTGTCCTTGTGGATATAGGTAAAACAACATCCCAGCTCTGCTGTTACTTAAATTTCATGTTGGCGGAATGCGGCTTCCTTTCACCACGATTCTATGACCTGTTTGCTGTGCAATGACCTGTACTTGGTTAGGAAACAGGCGACATTTTTTCGTTGTTTGCATCTTCAGCCCATAGAAATAAAGTCACCAAACGTTCAAACTTCGAGTGGAACCGTGAGTGGCTTCACTGCAGTGTTATGGAGAATTTATCGCGATATTTGTGTAGAATGTAGGCGGTTTAAGTTGTCTCATACAATAACGTAAAATGTTCCTCGGTAACAAAGGACTGGATTTCGGCATGGTCATACTTCCTTACATCTGTTGCCATTTTTTTGCAGATGTGACCTGGCCGCGGAGATGTGCGTTACTGGAAACGTCCGTCTTCCGATGATGAAAAAAATGAAATCTGCTCGCCGACCAAAGACTGAGCATGTAAACATCGACGAAAAAATCCACTTCATTCCTGGACGCACGCAGGCTGGGGACGATGATACAGTACTGTGGCTGGAGCGTCCTTGAAAGGCGAAGCGTCTCTGAAATGGACAAATTGACACGGACCGAGAAACTTTCTACAGAATAAGTTTAAAACAGCTTCTTCAAATGGTTTGATTTATTTTCTTTAGTTTGTTTGTTTGTTTTTAATTTTGGTGACGCTGATTCGATGCTGGGTGATTGTTCGATTTCTTGTATGACTTGCTCGAACTTGGTGATTTCCTTTTATTTTTCTTGGTAACTTTTAGTGCGTCAATAATTTTTCACTTTTAGAGGACCGCGCTTAACCAGTGTGCTTTGCGAACGGACTCTACATTTGCGCAATCTCCCTTATCGCAGAATCTACCTGTTTCAGAAAACTGTGTGGGATTTTTTGGAAACATGGTACAGACAGGCTGATCTTCCGCGGAATGCATTCAGTTAGTCAAAGAAAGAAAATGTGCAATATTAGGGAAATTTCGATTTGTAGAAAAAAATCAGTTATGTTATGGTAATTCCACGGGAGGTTATGCATGGGTGACTGAGAGAAACAACGCGCAAAGCACGCTGAATGAACGTTGCTCTTTTAGAAGACCACATCTCATCGCGTTATTCCTGTTTTAACGTCATCCAAGGATGTGGTATGGGAGAAAAATTATTGTTCAGCAAGTTAGAATAGGACGGAGAGCTTCTGAAGAGAATAATAAGATACGGCAGACTAGTTGATTCGCCGTTAAAGATCAACTACGGCTTTACAAATGATATGTTGTGCTTAGTTACCAATTGTCTCAGGGGACATTTAAGCCCTGGTTTGAAAATCCCAAAATTTAATTGTTCATTTTGCAAAGCTTTTCTTCCAGTTGTTTTGTTGTTTTTTTTTATGGTTATTTTTTTGTTTGTTTGTTTGCTTTTTCCAAATTGTGATTGATACTGTTTGTTTGTTTTTTGTAATTATTATTACCATTTTTGTACGGATGTGTGACGTAGTTTTTTCGAAGTAATTTCCTTTGTAACGATTTTTTTTACTTAACTGAATGCGAAAATGTTTTTGCATCTGTTGCCGCTTGATGTTTCGTTTCAAATTGGAAGGCCTCTTTGGATATTACACGGCTTCACTTAATTTTTTTTGTTTTTTTTTATTTTTGGAGCTTGACAAAGAAGAAATAAAGCAAATGAAATAAAACGCATTCCGAGAAATCGTTTACGAAGTACCAAATCTTCGGCCACTTAGTGATCGGAGATTTCTTCAGCCGTCTACGAAGGCTTATCGAGTATGTCAGCCAAAGTGAATTCCGTAAGCGATACTAGTTCTTTAATTACATGATAGAAAAGGGTGTTTTGAACACAAGTTAAGAGCGTCGTGGTGTTGAGTGGTTCGAGCCTAGCTAATGACCTTAACATTAGTAGAACTTATAGTCTTACTAGTGAATTGTAAGTAATTACTGACGATCTGTTTTGAGTTGCACTGTAGGTTAGAAACGCCAGATAAAAACACTAGGATTTACTGCTTTTTTTTATTATTTGTTTGTGAGCTGCCCGTCGAGTTATTCTTTGTAGAAGCCTGAGAATTAGTTATCCCCGATCGTGCCCGGGTTAGCTCGTAGACTATTTTTCGATCGACTTTTCGTAAACGAGACGCTTAGCGGTTTCAGTCAGCGTCCTAATTGTCAGCGTGTCTTGATAGTTCTTTTTTGCACGGGCAAAGCCTGTTTTTCATCTTGTAAGGAAACAAAGTCTTAGTTAATTAATGAAATGTTAAACGTAATAAAGTTAATTTGTTTGAATGCACTCTTCCTTGTCGCACTTGTTAAGATATTTTAAATCTTATTTTAACAAGCTTTAGAAAATAGCGTAAGAAAAAACGCGCGCTGATTGGTTAAAAATTGTTTCTGTGTTTAAAACAATTAGATTATGAGCTCGAGACGATAGTTGACGAGGGCACAGCTGGAGTCAACTATCAAGCATAGAAATCGAGAGCGAATAATCAAATTGTTTTCACTACAGATCACATTTTCTCTCAGTAACGGGACTGAAAAAATGGAAATTGAGGATTTTTGAAAAATATTCACTTCTTACTTCAGGCTATTAGGGAGCCTACGAGGTCATTGTAAATAACAAAGGACTTGTTCCTGCTATATTTTGTGCTTCGCAAGAGTTGCCACGATTAGAGCTGGACCCAGCGAGAAACACGTTCCGTTTAGTATTCGACCCAGATCCCTTGGAGCCACACGACTGTTCGTTCAATGGTAACCGTTGTCCTTGTAAGATTGTACCCTTCAAGGGCAAGTAGTGAATCAAAGGGCCTTTTTCTTCTGGTGGAAAGGTGTATCTCTGGGTGCGTTCCTTTGGGATGATCTGGATCAGGATCAGTGATCCAAGATCACTCTGATCATGGTGCATCAAAGGAACCGAAGAATCCGTGACTACAGTGGATTCGTCGGTTCCTTTGATGCACCATCCCACGGATCACCCCAAAGGAACGCACCCTGTATCATTGAATAAACCAGATTTACTGAGTGACGTGGAACTAACATATAATTATGTATTATCAAATCGCAATGATACTGACAACTCGAGGCTATTTCGAAAGTGTAAGTATAATGTTTATTCACTGAATAAGCCCCACATCAATGCCCTGGGATTTTTTCAACTTTTCCGATCTTAAGATCTGCCACGTTAACACTGGTTCTTGCTTTAAAAAGCGTTCAAAACAAACAATTTTTACATCACCGTGCACCCGCAACTTTGTTTGAAAATCGTTTCTACTAGCTAGCTATCTTACTTAAATCTAATTTTATCATTGCGTTCAACGACTTTCTTCAACTATTCCTTAAAAGCCATGGTATTGATGTCAATGAATTTATTTTATTGTTGATTTAGGATGTCCATTGATACATATTGATAGCCGGACAAGTCAATATTGTTTTCGTAAATATTAACTACTTATAACTTCAGGTAGCTGCCAGAATAAGGCGTTACATGATAAAACAAACGAACAGGTAGTTGGCACACTTGGCAGCCGGTTTTCCTGTAAGTTAACGATGTCAAAGCAACGTCACCGTCTCACTTTTCATAAAAGACCCCATCTATCGGACAGCAAGCACAAGTGTGAGAAATTTCCTTTACGAAGATCTGAGGTGAGTAGCATGAATTCCCTACATGATCGCAATATGACATAATTATGACATAATTTTATGTGATAAACTGAGTTATTCTTTTTGTAGAAAACTTCATCCGTTACAGACAGTTTGTTTTAGAAGTATTTGTCTTTCTATACGTACAAAACGCATACATGTTGTATAGGAAGTTTTTTCTTTTTTCAGAAACTGCGTAGTTGTCAGTGAGTTATAAAGTGAAAAAATGTCTGACATAATCTGTTTTATTTTTGTCAGTTTTCATCTTCGGAGGGCTTACTTTAGCTGTTCCGGGGTTGTGTTGGCAATTTTGTTTCTTTTGTTTTCTTTGGCTAAAGAACACAACACCAACGCGCTTTGATGTTCTGTACACAGCACCCATTAAGATGTTTGGCAAACAAATAAATTAACAGAGTTGATAATCACACCGCGCTTTTTTGTACGAAGGTGTATCTTGTCGCGCAATGAACAAGTCAACATAGAGGGAGGCTTTATTTTGGCTCACTTGTTATTCTGATTGTGTTGTTCAGGGTGCGTTCTACGGTTGAAGTTTTCACTGCATTTTTTTACCCTTACTGTTAAATTATAGTTAGCCAGTATTATCAGAAGGATAATTTTTTTCCAAAAAATGAGAATATCTCAAAAAGGTTTTACATTAGATATTTTCTGGATAGGAGATTGGACGTATTTTATCACGAAAAGCTGTTTGTAGTAACTGTGAACAAAGAAAAGGCACTAGAATGTGACTTGAGTAGTTTTTCAAGAAGGAAAACAAAATTGTTTAAAAGTTAATGAGGTTCAATTCTAATCAAAGACTTACAAAGGGGACGTAAAATTATAAATTAGAGCCCAGGGCGCACTCATTGAGACAGAAAGGTTCTGAAGTGTTTCCCATTCACCTGAAAATTGTGAAAAAAAGTTAGTGAAACTAAATTGTCGCTAGTCAGCATAGAACGAGTAGTGCTCGGTTATCATAAATTTTTCATTAAAAGAAAGTACTTTAAGCTAAAGGATTTCTTTTTTCTTTTTTTTCTTTTTTATGGCTTTTTTAAATGCGTGGCGGAAGGAAGGATACAAACGGGCATACACATATTTTCACACTAGAAGCAGTCAAAGCAAAGAAGAGCAATGTATAGCTGACTATATTCCTAGAGAATTCTCATGCCAAGCCGGTCGAGTAAACGTTTCAATTTTTCATCAGGCCCCAAAAGAGGAGAACAGTTTTGGCCCGGTTCGAGCCACCTGAATGACACCAGTCGATTAACAGCAGTAAAGACTATAACGACTTTATGATAAAGAACCTTTCATCAATCCAAGCCAATCAACAACACGTTGCACTGACGATTAGATTAGTCCTCAATTCGCGTGCAAGCCTAAATGATACTTTAGCAAGTAGAAACATAAGCATTTCGTCCTGAATCGAACACTCTAACTTATAGTGATACCAAAGTCCTCGAGCCCAATTTACTTGTACGCTCCTACATCAGACTCTTGTCCTCCCTCCTGGAACCGGGAAGATGACTTCGCACAGTTCTCATCTAACTTGAAGATTTCTCTTTTTCAGATGAAGTGGTACGTGGGTCTGCTTTCAGCACTATTGTGTGTCTTCATGGTGCTCTCTTGCGCTACAGGAAACCCTAAGAAGGGCAAGACAGTACAACAGACGGCGATCAGGGCTGCACTTATAACAAGCAAAGTTTGTCCACGATTTCTCTGTGTATAGGGTCTGGGCTTGCAATATTTATATCTGGAGAGAGAGGGAGGGGAGTGGGGGTAACTCAATAAACGTAAAAATTGGGGGCTCCCCAACGAGGTCCAACAACAAAAATACGACCCTATTGGGAGGCTCCCTTCACCGTGGTGGATTGCTCCCCGTGCCATTTCTCCTCCCCACTTTCGTTAATCCCTAGATCTTCATTCTCCTNTTGCGTAGTGAATACCATGCTGAAAGCAAAGTCGTTAATAGTTGAACACTTAGTAAGACTTAGTAGAAACCATGAATAGATTGGCAACTATAGATTCGTGTTATGCCGGGAAAACTAAAAATGTTTCTTTTTGGCAGGTAAATGCAATAAAACCGCTGAACACATCAACATGATAAACAGCATCCCAGTTATTAGGACGTCAACAGGTATGTAAGGTTAATGAAAAGTACCCTCATCCCTTGTATAACTAATTATGCGTTCAGCGACGATTTGCAACCAGCCACACGTCTTCATACAGCGATGAGAGCAGTACAGCTGCCATTGAATAGATGGAATTCTCTATTCCACGATTGTGTTGAGTTGCTAGTTGGCTTGAATAGCTTTCCAGGTAGCTTGAGTTTCTTCAGGTGGTTGTTACCATGGATTCCAAATATCGAGAGGCCAGTATTCCTGCACAGATGGTCAGATTTCAACCCAGAGCACGCACATCGTGGCGCCTGTCAGCCAGTCTGTCTGTTTGTCTTTTTGTCTGTCTGTTTTTCTGTCTGTCTGTCTGTCTGTCTGTCTGGTTGGTTTGTCGGCTGGTTAGCTAGCTCACTAGGTTGACCTAGTTCATTTGCCTGATTGGCTGGTTGGCACAGCTTTTGTCTGGACACGAGTCCGTTGGTGGGAGCGTCTGTTTCTCTATCTGTCTTTTTACTCATCGGTTTTGGTTTCTTTTTCAGTTTCCCTGGCCCCTTCTAATCCGACTTCTATACTCTGATAGAATATTTGTTTTAGCCAGTGAAAGCGCGCGCAGAATCCAATCAATTTTGTCGTTTTATTTTTGTTATATTTCAGATGCTGAAGTCAGGTACATAAATTGCCCTGATGGATCTACCTGTATGGATTACGAGACATGTTGTGAACTCCCCGGCGGGGGATTCGGCTGCTGTCCTATGCCACACGCTGTGTGCTGTTCAGACCACGAGCACTGCTGTCCTTGTGGATATAGGTAAAACAACATCCCAGCTCTGCTGTTACTTAAATTTCATGTTGGCGGAATGCGGCTTCCTTTCACCACGATTCTATGACCTGTTTGCTGTGCAATGACCTGTACTTGGTTAGGAAACAGGCGACATTTTTTCGTTGTTTGCATCTTCAGCCCATAGAAATAAAGTCACCAAACGTTCAAACTTCGAGTGGAACCGTGAGTGGCTTCACTGCAGTGTTATGGAGAATTTATCGCGATATTTGTGTAGAATGTAGGCGGTTTAAGTTGTCTCATACAATAACGTAAAATGTTCCTCGGTAACAAAGGACTGGATTTCGGCATGGTCATACTTCCTTACATCTGTTGCCATTTTTTTGCAGATGTGACCTGGCCGCGGAGATGTGCGTTACTGGAAACGTCCGTCTTCCGATGATGAAAAAAATGAAATCTGCTCGCCGACCAAAGACTGAGCATGTAAACATCGACGGAAAAATCCACTTCATTCCTGGACGCACGCAGGCTGGGGACGATGATACAGTACTGTGGCTGGAGCGTCCTTGAAAGGCGAAGCGTCTCTGAAATGGACAAATTGACACGGACCGAGAAACTTTCTACAGAATAAGTTTAAAACAGCTTCTTCAAATGGTTTGATTTATTTTCTTTAGTTTGTTTGTTTGTTTTTAATTTTGGTGACGCTGATTCGATGCTGGGTGATTGTTCGATTTCTTGTATGACTTGCTCGAACTTGGTGATTTCCTTTTATTTTTCTTGGTAACTTTTAGTGCGTCAATAATTTTTCACTTTTAGAGGACCGCGCTTAACCAGTGTGCTTTGCGAACGGACTCTACATTTGCGCAATCTCCCTTATCGCAGAATCTACCTGTTTCAGAAAACTGTGTGGGATTTTTTGGAAACATGGTACAGACAGGCTGATCTTCCGCGGAATGCATTCAGTTAGTCAAAGAAAGAAAATGTGCAATATTAGGGAAATTTCGATTTGTAGAAAAAAATCAGTTATGTTATGGTAATTCCACGGGAGGTTATGCATGGGTGACTGAGAGAAACAACGCGCAAAGCACGCTGAATGAACGTTGCTCTTTTAGAAGACCACATCTCATCGCGTTATTCCTGTTTTAACGTCATCCAAGGATGTGGTATGGGAGAAAAATTATTGTTCAGCAAGTTAGAATAGGACGGAGAGCTTCTGAAGAGAATAATAAGATACGGCAGACTAGTTGATTCGCCGTTAAAGATCAACTACGGCTTTACAAATGATATGTTGTGCTTAGTTACCAATTGTCTCAGGGGACATTTAAGCCCTGGTTTGAAAATCCCAAAATTTAATTGTTCATTTTGCAAAGCTTTTCTTCCAGTTGTTTTGTTGTTTTTTTTTATGGTTATTTTTTTGTTTGTTTGTTTGCTTTTTCCAAATTGTGATTGATACTGTTTGTTTGTTTTTTGTAATTATTATTACCATTTTTGTACGGATGTGTGACGTAGTTTTTTCGAAGTAATTTCCTTTGTAACGATTTTTTTTACTTAACTGAATGCGAAAATGTTTTTGCATCTGTTGCCGCTTGATGTTTCGTTTCAAATTGGAAGGCCTCTTTGGATATTACACGGCTTCACTTAATTTTTTTTGTTTTTTTTTATTTTTGGAGCTTGACAAAGAAGAAATAAAGCAAATGAAATAAAACGCATTCCGAGAAATCGTTTACGAAGTACCAAATCTTCGGCCACTTAGTGATCGGAGATTTCTTCAGCCGTCTACGAAGGCTTATCGAGTATGTCAGCCAAAGTGAATTCCGTAAGCGATACTAGTTCTTTAATTACATGATAGAAAAGGGTGTTTTGAACACAAGTTAAGAGCGTCGTGGTGTTGAGTGGTTCGAGCCTAGCTAATGACCTTAACATTAGTAGAACTTATAGTCTTACTAGTGAATTGTAAGTAATTACTGACGATCTGTTTTGAGTTGCACTGTAGGTTAGAAACGCCAGATAAAAACACTAGGATTTACTGCTTTTTTTTATTATTTGTTTGTGAGCTGCCCGTCGAGTTATTCTTTGTAGAAGCCTGAGAATTAGTTATCCCCGATCGTGCCCGGGTTAGCTCGTAGACTATTTTTCGATCGACTTTTCGTAAACGAGACGCTTAGCGGTTTCAGTCAGCGTCCTAATTGTCAGCGTGTCTTGATAGTTCTTTTTTGCACGGGCAAAGCCTGTTTTTCATCTTGTAAGGAAACAAAGTCTTAGTTAATTAATGAAATGTTAAACGTAATAAAGTTAATTTGTTTGAATGCACTCTTCCTTGTCGCACTTGTTAAGATATTTTAAATCTTATTTTAACAAGCTTTAGAAAATAGCGTAAGAAAAAACGCGCGCTGATTGGTTAAAAATTGTTTCTGTGTTTAAAACAATTAGATTATGAGCTCGAGACGATAGTTGACGAGGGCACAGCTGGAGTCAACTATCAAGCATAGAAATCGAGAGCGAATAATCAGATTGTTTTCACTACAGATCACATTTTCTCTCAGTAACGGGACTGAAAAAATGGAAATTGAGGATTTTTGAAAAATATTCACTTCTTACTTCAGGCTATTAGGGAGCCTACGAGGTCATTGTAAATAACAAAGGACTTGTTCCTGCTATATTTTGTGCTTCGCAAGAGTTGCCACGATTAGAGCTGGACCCAGCGAGAAACACGTTCCGTTTAGTATTCGACCCAGATCCCTTGGAGCCACACGACTGTTTGTTCAATGGTAACCGTTGTCCTTGTAAGATTGTACCCTTCAAGGGCAAGTAGTGAATCAAAGGGCCTTTTTCTTCTGGTGGGAAGGTGTATCTCTGGGTGCGTTCCTTTGGGATGATCTGGATCAGGATCAGTGATCCAAGATCACTCTGATCATGGTGCATCAAAGGAACCGAAGAATCCGTGACTACAGTGGATTCGTCGGTTCCTTTGATGCACCATCCCACGGATCACCCCAAAGGAACGCACCCTGTATCATTGAATAAACCAGATTTACTGAGTGACGTGGAACTAACATATAATTATGTATTATCAAATCGCAATGATACTGACAACTCGAGGCTATTTCGAAAGTGTAAGTATAATGTTTATTCACTGAATAAGCCCCACATCAATGCCCTGGGATTTTTTCAACTTTTCCGATCTTAAGATCTGCCACGTTAACACTGGTTCTTGCTTTAAAAAGCGTTCAAAACAAACAATTTTTACATCACCGTGCACCCGCAACTTTGTTTGAAAATCGTTTCTACTAGCTAGCTATCTTACTTAAATCTAATTTTATCATTGCGTTCAACGACTTTCTTCAACTATTCCTTAAAAGCCATGGTATTGATGTCAATGAATTTATTTTATTGTTGATTTAGGATGTCCATTGATACATATTGATAGCCGGACAAGTCAATATTGTTTTCGTAAATATTAACTACTTATAACTTCAGGTAGCTGCCAGAATAAGGCGTTACATGATAAAACAAACGAACAGGTAGTTGGCACACTTGGCAGCCGGTTTTCCTGTAAGTTAACGATGTCAAAGCAACGTCACCGTCTCACTTTTCATAAAAGACCCCATCTATCGGACAGCAAGCACAAGTGTGAGAAATTTCCTTTACGAAGATCTGAGGTGAGTAGCATGAATTCCCTACATGATCGCAATATGACATAATTATGACATAATTTTATGTGATAAACTGAGTTATTCTTTTTGTAGAAAACTTCATCCGTTACAGACAGTTTGTTTTAGAAGTATTTGTCTTTCTATACGTACAAAACGCATACATGTTGTATAGGAAGTTTTTTCTTTTTTCAGAAACTGCGTAGTTGTCAGTGAGTTATAAAGTGAAAAAATGTCTGACATAATCTGTTTTATTTTTGTCAGTTTTCATCTTCGGAGGGCTTACTTTAGCTGTTCCGGGGTTGTGTTGGCAATTTTGTTTCTTTTGTTTTCTTTGGCTAAAGAACACAACACCAACGCGCTTTGATGTTCTGTACACAGCACCCATTAAGATGTTTGGCAAACAAATAAATTAACAGAGTTGATAATCACACCGCGCTTTTTTGTACGAAGGTGTATCTTGTCGCGCAATGAACAAGTCAACATAGAGGGAGGCTTTATTTTGGCTCACTTGTTATTCTGATTGTGTTGTTCAGGGTGCGTTCTACGGTTGAAGTTTTCACTGCATTTTTTTACCCTTACTGTTAAATTATAGTTAGCCAGTATTATCAGAAGGATAATTTTTTTCCAAAAAATGAGAATATCTCAAAAAATTTATCTCATAAATTTTTCATTAAATGAAAGTACTTTAAGCTAAAGGATTTCTTTTTTCTTTTTTTTCTTTTTTATGGCTTTTTTAAATGCGTGGCGGAAGGAAGGATACAAACGGGCATACACATATTTTCACACTAGAAGCAGTCAAAGCAAAGAAGAGCAATGTATAGCTGACTATATTCCTAGAGAATTCTCATGCCAAGCCGGTCGAGTAAACGTTTCAATTTTTCATCAGGCCCCAAAAGAGGAGAACAGTTTTGGCCCGGTTCGAGCCACCTGAATGACACCAGTCGATTAACAGCAGTAAAGACTATAACGACTTTATGATAAAGAACCTTTCATCAATCCAAGCCAATCAACAACACGTTGCACTGACGATTAGATTAGTCCTCAATTCGCGTGCAAGCCTAAATGATACTTTAGCAAGTAGAAACATAAGCATTTCGTCCTGAATCGAACACTCTAACTTATAGTGATACCAAAGTCCTCGAGCCCAATTTACTTGTACGCTCCTACATCAGACTCTTGTCCTCCCTCCTGGAACCGGGAAGATGACTTCGCACAGTTCTCATCTAACTTGAAGATTTCTCTTTTTCAGATGAAGTGGTACGTGGGTCTGCTTTCAGCACTATTGTGTGTCTTCATGGTGCTCTCTTGCGCTACAGGAAACCCTAAGAAGGGCAAGACAGTACATCAGACGGCGATCAGGGCTGCACTTATAACAAGCAAAGTTTGTCCACGATTTCTCTGTGTATAGGGTCTGGGCTTGCAATATTTATATCTGGAGAGAGAGGGAGGGGAGTGGGGGTAACTCAATAAACGTAAAAATTGGGGGCTCCCCAACGAGGTCCAACAACAAAAATACGACCCTATTGGGAGGCTCCCTTCACCGTGGTGGATTGCTCCCCGTGCCATTTCTCCTCCCCACTTTCGTTAATCCCTAGATCTTCATTCTCCTGATATTTCCGTAACGTGCGAGCTCTTAAGTTCAAGAAGCAAATAAATTACTTCTGCCGGTTCAAATGTTTACGTCCGTGAGTTGTGATTAGAAAATTTTGATACATTCCTCAGTCCCCTTGTAAGGAGTCCGTTGGTCGTTGTTGTAGTCATTTTTGTTAAATTTTGTTCGTTGTTATAATTATGATCTACGGCAGTCTAAACGTGATGAAGAAATAGTTGTATTTTGTACTTTTGTTTCTTCAACCGTACAAACAAACTCAAATGCAGCCCCACCATCGTAAATCAAGGAGGGACAGTAGTGGGTGGGGTGCGTGGGGTAGATGGAGCACACTTCCCCAGCCTGCTGCCATCTTGGATCTCACTATTTCCTCAGAAAGTCAGAAATAACGTGAATTGACGGGAACTGATCAAAATTGATACTACAATGTAAAAGGGACAAAAGGCACTGGGTATGCAATGTTACTTGAGAAAACTGGAAAATAATTATACAGAACCCAGTCAAACGTTTCGGTTTACCTGCATGTCAAAATGCAGTTGCTATGGCAATGTCAAACGACGTGGAAAGACAGTTGAAATATGTCGAAATCTTTGCGAGAAATGAATGAACAGCTACTGAAAGTTACAGCCTCGCAGAGTAAATCTCCCTACAAGTCCGAGGTTTATTGTTTACCGAGAGAAAAACCTGAGGATTATATGTGAAACTTTATCCACACTGCATTACATTACATAAAAAAAACCAAGCTGACGCTACAAGTGAGATTATACAGGGGTGGGATTAGGGAGGAGGGATGGATTCGGTACCTACAGTCACTCCTTGCAGGAGCAACAAAATAAAAAAAAAAATGTGAATATTATGGCAGACATTAAGGCAAACACTCTGGACAGATACATGTACGTCACCCTGATCTCTACTTTGTGGCATTGGTAGTATTTCCGGTGTAGCAGTTTTCATTTAGGTTCCAGTTATCAATTTGCCACATTTTAGAGGCATGCGCCATTGTTTCTGCAACCCCAAGATACCAGCCACTCCCCCCCCTCCTTGAAAAATCCTGGATCCCCATGGAAAAAGTATAAATTGTATTATGCAAATACGGCGTGAGATAAAATACTCAGCCATAAACTAAATTCGATTCTGCAACCCCAAGATACCAGCTCCCCCATTTCCCTCCCCTGCCCCATTGAAATATCCCGGATTCGCCCACGGAAAAAGCAAAAATTGCATTATGTATATACGACGTGGGATAAAATAAAAAATATAAATTCGATGTACATGATCATATTGGAAACAAAACTCTCTTTTCTGATTGGTTCTACCTCCTCCCCTTCCTAATACTTCTCACGTCATTCACAGCATGGGTCTGGCAGCGGCAAGAATGCAAAACTGTCAAAACGTGCAAATTATTGTATGGATGGCAAATCAGAGTGCCCGGATGATTTCACCTGTTGTAAACGCCTTGGTCAAGATTATCAACAAGGTGAAGGCCAAGATCAACGCTATGGCTGTTGTCCTGTGAAGAATGCTATCTGCTGCAGTGATGGAAAGCATTGCTGTCCTCATGGATACACTTGTCAAACAAATGGGGAATGTTCCAAGTAAAAGCAAATCCGAGGACAGCCGTGGAAAGCAAGCTTTGGCTCTTTATGGAGGTGTACTATTATTAATGCAAAATAAAACAACATCTTGTAATTTCGTATTTTGTGTGAGACACTTCGTTACATGTGAAGGGCTGGGCGTGGTTGAAAAACAACGTTACACTTCTTTAACCCTCGACCTCGATTATTGATAAATAAAAATTATGATTACATTAATCCCTTTCACGGCATTACTGAGCCTTGCAGTTAGCTGGCCGTATGCCACATAACTTTGTTTACTGATCGACCTTGCTCACCAAAAGTCTACTACAGCTCATAGCGTCCAACCAGTGTGTGAGCCCGCGAGCAGGCTCCCAGGCGATGCGGAACGAGCAAAGGCGTAGCCGCAAGAAACGGGTGCGCAGCTTGGCCTTTGCTTATGCCGCACTGTACGAGAGCCTGCTTGCAGGCTACTATCTGGAAGGTCATGGGCCAGACTTCTTTTTTTGGCCACGAAAAATTTTGAGCCTAAAAAGAGTATTTACGGTGTAATAGACATTAGCCCGCCAGTAGGCTCTTGTGCTTTGGGCTGGAGACTCGAGCGGCGAAGCCACGAGAGAGACACCCGAGACGAGCCGGCGCGCGAATCGTGTCGGCGAGTCTTTCTAAGCCTCCATCCCTCAACTTTGTTTCGTTCCGCAACGCGCGACGTTCATAAACGGCCTAGCGCGCCAAAGCGAAGTGCTTAAGTGCGAAACTCAAACACTGGAGCCTGTTCGCAGGTTAAATAGACAAATGATAGGGTTACAAAGTTCTCCATGGAGAGACTCCGCCCCGAGGCCCAACCCCATACCCTTTAGTATACCACTTTGACAGAAAAGGCATTCCTTTCGTATACCTTTTATTAAAAAAAGGTACTTCTTTCACGTACCTTCTTAAGAATACTGCATCCCTTTTCTAAACCCTTGGAATGAAGTTAATGAGCGACACTTTGGGAGAACATGAAACATTACCACAAGAGATGTCAACCGAAAAAGACGTTTCGGGCTCCTGGTTTCATATATTCAATTCCCGTTCACGTTCTACCGAAAGGACAGATTTCCCTACCTTTCCATATGCCTCAACTTGTGAAAGCCTTACCCTTTTATATACCTGAAGCCTAAGAAAGATACCCCTTTTTGGCTGAGCATCCCCTTACAGGGCGTTGTAAAGAGTACCCCGGCCCGGGGCTTAAGCAGAATGATTTCTTTTGTGAAGAGAAGAAAAAAAAAAGAAAATAAATAAAAGATTTGTGTCGCCCGTTCAATCTCAACAACCAGCATAGCATGCAGGCGTGATTGACGCAAATCGGAAATCTGCATCAATAAAGGAGACGAGGAGCCATTCTTTTTTTAAAAAAAGAAAACAAACAAAAACGAAAGCAAACAAATAGTAAAACTGATGAACGAGGGAGAAAAAAATGTTCCTTTGCAGCCTTTACTGCAAGAGACTGAGAAGATGGTCAGCGGCCTTATAATTCAACACCGCAAAGACTTCTGGTATAGATCATCCAATATGGCGGCTCGATTTCTTGGTTGTGCGTGGTTGATTGCAGTTCTCTTCCGTTTCATTTGGGTTTGCCTGCCACAAACAGGCTATATTCACCCAGATGAGTTTTTTCAGGCCACAGAAATCACTGCCGGTGATATATTTGGATTTAAACACATAAGGACATGGGAATTCAACGAGGCTTTTCCCGTGCGTGCTGTAACCTTCCCGTATGTTTTCGCTGGATTTCCATTGTACACCTTGAAAAAGGTCCTTGGTGAAGGAGCTATCACATCAAGAACTCTCACTGTAGCTCCAAGACTTTTCATTTCTGCTGCTTCGTTGATCATCGATCTGTCAGTTTATAAAATTTGCCCTCACCTTCGTATCGACCCAGCACCATCGCTCTGTCTTCTTGGAACATCTTTCGTCACGCTGGTTTTCTTCACACGTACTTTTTCCAATACTGCTGAGGCCATCTTATTTGCCTTGCTAATCCAGTTGGTAGTATCTGCTATATCAAACGGCAACACATTACGCACGAAAAAGGACCGTCTGCGGTACTTTTCAATGGGTGTCATTATAGGTACAGGGATTTGGATCCGCCCAACCTTTGTGGCTTTTGCTAGTGTCCCCTTGGCTTTTTTGTTACTGGATATTTGTGCTCTGAAGTGGACATCTGATAAGAGGAGTATAAAATTCATTACACATATTTTTAGATACTGCACTTGTCTGGGAGTCGGTAGCATTCTGACAATGCTTGTTCTGATCATTGCAGACTCTCACTACTTTGGTTATTTGCAGAAAAGACAATTTGTTGTTACTCCAGTAAACTTCATTTTGTACAACCTGGACACAACTTCACTGAAAGAACATGGGCTCCATCCGAGGATGACTCACTTTTTAATCAACATGTCACTCTTGTATGGGCCTTTGGCTGTAGCTTTATATGCTTTCATTGTTCACGCTGTGATAAAGAGGAAATTTGTAGACTGTGCAAGAATATTGCTAAGCAGAGGAAAGGAAAAGGTCAACGGCAGCGATGATCACAAAGCATATCTTATATGGAATATGCTTCTGTGCAGTTGTTTAGTTCCTGTTGTATTGTTGTCATTTATACCACATCAAGAACCTAGGTTCATTAGTCCAGTTCTCATACCACTCATCATCCTTTTTTCTCAAAGCTTATTTAGACCATCTTTCACCCCCCTGAGACTGTTATCCTGGTGTCTATGGAACATACTTGGATGTGCCTTGTTTGGAATACTGCATCAGGGGGGTGTGTACCCTTGCTTAGCACATCTTCAGCAGTACCTTTACAATGCAAAGAGTCAAACCCTTAACACCACATACCATGTGACTTTTTATCGCACCTATATGCCACCACAACATCTTCTAGCATGGCCCATGCATGGGCATGACAATGAAGGAGGATTTCATCACAACTTAGTATTGTATGACTTGAAAGGCAGCTCAGAAGATGCATTAAAGAAACATTTGGAAATGATATCAAGGCTGAGCAATGAGGAGCTTGAAACCCATGGAACAAAAAGTGAGGTAAGAAATTGGCACAGAGTTTTTTTAAGGTCCTAATGCAAGTTAAATGAACTAAATATTGCCTTTCTTGGTTAAAAGTTACTATTGAGGTCATAGCTTTTGCATTGTTAGGGAAACAGCTACACAAGTTTTAATGGTGTCTACCCTTTTAAATGTGTTAGAATTTCACCATAATGAGCTATTTGACATTTGAGTACTTCTTGAAAGGAAAAATTTTGGGTTGAAATTCGTTTAAGTTGTCTTTATTTACATAAGGTTTCAAAAAGATATTTCACGGTACTCACATGTTCACCGACTGGCTTGAGTTCGCTTCAGATTTCTCGAGGTTTCTTTAAAATGCAATATCTCACATAACAAGAGAAACCAAGCATTAAAGTTCCTCGAAATTAGTAAAACAGGTTATTTAGCGTTGACAGAGCAGAGGAAACCAAAACGAAAACTCACGTTTTCAGACAACGCGAAATGAGCTTCACTCACGTCGGGCCCGAACGCAGAACATCAACCTGTTTCCCGCCAGTCATGCGCAGTGGGCCTTTTGGGTTTTCCCTGATCTTATGGGGTTCCCGTTGCCATCCGTGTTGTCGTTGCTTAAAGTCCCTGTTGCCTGCTCAGAAACTTTTGGCAGGAAACAGTTTTATTGTTAAATACCATGTGACCTCAAAGTAGCTGATTAGAGCTTATGTTGCTGGGGAAAAGTTCCAGCTCTATTTAACAATGCGAGCTGACAACCCTTACATTAAAAATACTGTAGTTGCAACCTTCTTTGGGACAATTGTAGTTGCAAGAACTTTGAGACAGTTCGACGTAAATGTTGCTCATAAACCCGTCAAGACGGTTGGTTTGATCCTGAAGAAACCGAAGGACAAATTCGATCAACACCTGTCAACTGGTGTTGTGTATAAAATCAATTGTGAAAACTGTGAAAAACTTTAAATCGGTCAAACATCCAGAGCACTGAGATCCAGAACAAAAGAACATAAAAGAGCCATCCTCACATGTGACAAGAACTCTCTTTTGGCGCAACACTGTATGAAAAACAACCACGAATTTGATTTTAACAATGTCAAGGTCATAG